ATGTGACATGGTTTCCACTTGCCCCACATTTTCTACATGGCAAGGGGCAAGTGGAAACCTATCCGAATTTATATATTGAATTCAATACAAATCATTCTGGGGCAAGTAGAAATAATAAAAAACCATTTCTGAATACATTTGTAATAAAAGTTTAAAAAAATATGGTTATTAGCGAACATTATAGTTGTTTAGAGAAATAGGAAACGAAATTAAAGCTTGTTGCCTTTTTGTAAGCTGGGAAAAACTTAATGGTTTTGGCAATACTAATTCAATTTGGAACTTAAATGCGACTGATATGTCTGGTAGGTTAGGAAAATAATATTTTCCGTCATTTTTTATGCATTTTCGAAGGCAACTAACTTTAACTTCAGTATCAAAACACTGCAAAATTTTAGCGACATAATAAATATAATTTGAGCCTCCTTTAACTGGAAATTTCATTAATACGAAATCATCGGGCATAGCCGCACGATGTAACTCTTCTTCGATGGGAGGGGTTGGAACCCTTAATATATCAATATCGTCGTCGGAATCTGATCTCATCTCAATGAAAGCTTGGTCATCATCACTGCTGTCAGATTGTGTTTCCTTCTTCTTTATCCTTTTCCTTTCCGTTTTATTGGATTTTACGGTCTTTTTGTCTTGTATCTTCATTTTTGCTAAATAGTCAGTGTGTGTTATGATCTCAGTGCCAGAACAGATTTTATTACGCTTTTGCTGGTTTGATGGGGATTGTTTGGCATGTTCGAATAAAATAGATTCGAAGGAATTTCTTTCAGGAAGCCTTTTTAATGCATGATTCTGATTATCATTTTGAAGATACTGTTTATATTGTAACACAGTACTTCTGACCAAGTGTGTTGCTTGGCTGCCACTGGTATTTTCCGACATTTCTTCTTGTTGAGGGGTATCACCAGGGTCAATCCTATTTCTCACTAATGATGCCTTCTTCTTCTTCTTCAGATGCAAATCCACTAATGGATGTTAGCGATCACATTTTCCATTAATTCTCTATTTCTTGCAATATGTATCAGAGATTGTATGTCGTGTTCCCTGTCCATTGCCTTATGTTTCGGAGCCAGGACATTTTCTTGCGTCCCATTCCTCTCTTGCCTTCAATTTTTCCCTCGATTATAAGTTGGAGGAACTGGTATTTGCATGATGCCTTCTTAGAGTTATGATATTGAAATCTTTTGAAAGGCACAGGTTCAAATTTTTCAACAGGAATCACTGCATTACAGAATGGGTAAATACTGGCCTTACTAAAACCACTTCTAATATGGTTTGAACTCAGCTCCTTCAATACCTATTGTAAAAATTATGGATGAAAATATGAATTTCGGTAACTTAGGTATCGTAATTTCTTCTTGCCATTTTATAGAACTTCCTGTCGCTACATTTGTTTTAAAGGTTGAACACAGCTCCAAATCCATTGGCTTGTAGGAGGGGCTTGTATTTGGCAGTGTAGTTTTTTAAAATTATTATGTCTTCCCTTAAGCTAGTTTCTATTAAGGGCAAGTGATGTGTGCGTGAAGAGTGAACGTCATGTGATCAGAACAAGGGTCTCGCTTTAGGAATATTCGGAAGGAGACGTATGTTCAAGATAATTAGAAATGTTTCCGTTTTATCCATATCGTTTAGTTGTTTGCTCGTATGTAATCCGGGATACTCGTCTCATTTTTTTTAGGCCATGTATTCCTCCAAAGTATTTTTTCTTTGGAAAATTTATAATAAGGGGGTGATAATTTTTCTCCTGTAGTACTGCACCCATAGACAGATAAAACTTTTCTTTAGCCTGGACCAGTTGTACGCGCTGTTGGGCTTTTTTCACCTACTTCTTTTACACGTGCATAGGATTCTAGACTGGTTAAAATGGTTTCATCTAGATTATAAATCCTCTGCAGCGGGTTTATATTCGCCGAAGTGTATTTCTTTCACCAAGTCAAAGTATTGCAATTACATGGATCTATTGACTTTTTTACGGGCCCTTAAACTAATTGTGGCGTTGTGGAGATAGTCCATATCGGCGCTTGAAACTTAAAAAATAATCATCTCCTGTATTGAATCTTTAAAATGGAGTGTTTATGTTATTTCTGACACATATGTCAAGAGCTAACACAATTTCCTTTTTTGAAAGACAAAACCCCATGTTTCATGGTTTAATATGGTCAGCAATTTTGGTCTCAAATCTAAAGGTTAAAGCTGTTGCACCTACCCATGAGTGGTACCTTTAATCACCCTTAATCTCTTGATGTTTTAAATAATGTTGCATTGGTTTTGGAATGGAGTATTGTTTTGTGCTCGGTTGAGTGTCAATTGCTTAGATTTTACCAGCTTCTACTGCTCTGCTTATATGTTTTCTTTGAGAATTATGTGCGGGGGTTCTTTTTGACTTGTGATACGAAACCATTGTGTACGCAAAGAAAAAAAAATAGTTAGATTTTAACTGTTTTAAAATAAAATTTGCTTGGGGAAAGTGGACACTAGTGTCCACTTTCCCAAATGTCCACTTGCCTCAAGCAATAAAAAACCATTGGGGCAAGTGGACCTATCTATTTTTACAAAAATTATCACACAAGTTAGTTTTAACTACATATCGTCAATATCTCCGGGCAGATATAATTTTTATTCCTTTCCTATGAAAATCGTGTTAATTCCACTAAATTCCTTAAATCAAAACCGTTGCCTTAAAGCTAACAATTACAAATTCGGATGGTTAAATCGATACCGGCTTGGTATGATAAAACCTTGAATAGTTTTGCTTAACGACAGTATTATGAGGACTCTGTAGCGGTCAGTGCCCAGTGGTAATATTAACTGGGGTAGATCGTTTTGAGGAGATGGCAGTCACAGACTGGATTATGATTTTTTTGTAATCACTGTGGTTTCCACTTCCCCCATATTTCCACCTTTTGCCCGGGGTACCTTATAAGAAGTAATTGTAAAGAATGGTTCTTTTATATAATAATAAATATTTTCAAATAAAATTTATTTTTTTCATTGTTTTTTCTTGTTGAAAAAAGTATCTGTAAATGAATCACCCTTTATAAAATACCAAAAAAAGTTATTTACAAAAATAGGAGGTAGCTGTAGGCTTCACATTTTAAAATTGTTACGAATAGCTCTATTAGATACCAGACTTAGTAAAAAGTTTGATGTAAATAAAAATGTATTCAAATAAATAACAAATAAAACAAAATTTACTTCTATACAATACATAAAAGAAAAAGACGAATCCTGCTAAGTAAAACAAACGGGCTACGGTCCTCGAAGTTGATGCCGGTGCGGTGAACGGATAAATAAATGTTGGCGGTGTTAGGATGATTAGGACGAAGGAAGATCTTTGGTCAATACCAAGGAGGGTTGTATGAAGGAGTACAAATGCAATGCATCGTTTGTGTGCCTACTTTTTTTAACATCTAACATCTAATTCATCATTCGCCTCTAGAGGTGCAAGTGTTACTGTTGCAAAGGATGTTACAAATACAATAGTGTCATTATAGACATTTATTATTTTATTCATGTTTTTAGTGTTATGAGATATTCATTTATTGGTTAATTAGTGAAATATATGTTTTGGGCAATAAATAAAAAATAAATTATTTCTATACCAAAGACTGAGATGTGAAATCGAATTTAAATTTACCATTACTCTAATTTGGAACAGCTTATTTTGAAGCGGAAATATTTTGTCATGTTAATATCTAACTGTCTCATTTATATACCAATGAAATTACAACTGCAAATTAATTGATATTGTACAGTTTTTTAGATAAAACGAACGGTTCAAGATCGCTTCAAACATGCTTCTGACAATCTTCCAATCCAGATTTTATAGTGCATGAGCTATCTTGGGTAAGGCCAAATTCTTGATGTCATAATTGCACACGATTTTCTTCAAATTAGTTAGAGCACGCCATTTATCCTCGTAGCTTGCCCTGTCTGTATAACGACTTCCTGGTCACCATATACAGCAAAGATCGAGGATCATCTTCTAATCTCAGTACTCTTTCAACTTTAGGCTACTGCTTTTTTAACTCGTCCAAACGACCGAACTGCTTATAGAATATGGACGAAGTTCCTTTAATTATCTAAAGGTTTTTGGCAACACAGCGGGCTAGAGAAACGTTATGCGGAACACTAAAAAGATCCTACTGAACTTCTGTGGTCAGGTCACGCCGAATCTAGCACTCTTTCTCTATGCGTAATTTGACATAAATTCATTAAAGCTTGGTCGCCGGTCATCTTTGCTCTCATGTTGAAGGTTTCGTGCTTCTTCTGTTTTATTTGAACCAGCATAAGGTGCAAGATGATTTATGTGAACTGCTATTGGTTTAGTTTGGTTTTAAATCTATAAATCCATCGTTAGACCTGTAATAACATACGGATGCGAAACTTGGACCATGACCAAAGCAAACGAAGAAAAGCTCAAACGCTTTGAATGAAAAATATTTAGAAACATTTTCGGACCTCACCATGACATCACCACCTTCTACAAGATCAAGACATAACTTTCTACCAAATAGAGTTTTTGAGTGCTGGAATAACCTTAATGATAACATTGTCTCTGCTGACTCTACTAACTCATTCAAAAACAGTATTGACCGTTTATATTATATTTAAAATATTGTTTTTCTTTTAAACTGAAAATTGTAATTATGTCATTTATTAGTAGGTTACTAATGTAATTTCTTTGTTTTGGGTATAATAGGGACTTGTTCCTTTGCCATTACTTATATAATAATAATAATAATAATAATAATAATATTACCACAGAATAATAAACAATTGTTTCTTATTCTGTGATATTACATAGAAGCTAATATTAACAACCAATCAATTGTTATCAATATATTGTTTATTATTCTGTGTCAAAATCCACTTTTATTTGTGACGTCATCACCTGGTTGAAATATTTAAAATTTACCAAGCGAAAAACAAGAAAAGAACTTAAGATTTTAGCCGACGAAGAGTTAGAGTGGCAGCATTGTTGCGTCGTCGGTCGATTTCGACATCCGAGTCGGTTGTCAATTCATTTATATTTGTTAAATAATAAAATGTAGTTTATCTACATTACTCTAGTTATACATAAAATTTAGTGATAAATTATCGTAAAAAATTGTTTTTACGGGAAAACATTTTATATATCATTATTTAAAAAGTGAATTAAATTTCCTATATACATAACTTATTGGGGTCAATCAACTTCCAGCCACAGAGTACAGACTAGATTAAGATAAAATGCGTGGAAGACCAGGAGGAAGAAGGTATGTAGTATATTTATTTGTCCTAGTATTAAATTAATTATCCATTACCTTTTTTTTATATAAGATCTCGAAGTAGAGACCGGCGTAGATCTCGAAGTCGCGACCGTGGCTATGGTGGCGGCGGAGGAGGAGGAGGTAACAGAAGAAATGCAGCGGGTGCGATGCTGCGTAAACCTAGATGGGACTTGAACCGATTAGAGCCTTTCAAAAAGGATTTTTATGTACCTCTACCTTCAGTACAAAATCGGTCTTTGTATGACCTAGAAGAATGGAGAAGAAAACAAGAAATATCTCTCAAAGGGAAAGGTATTCCTAATCCGGTGCTATCGTTCGAAGAAGCTGGCTTCCCAGATTACGTTATGGAGGAATTGGTAAAAATGAACTTCAAAAGTCCAACATCCATACAAGCTCAAGGTTGGCCAATTGCTTTGTCTGGTAGAGATATGGTAGGAATAGCTTCTACTGGTTCAGGAAAAACTTTAAGCTACATTTTACCTGCAATTGTACATATAAATAATCAGTCTAGGTTGTTAAGAGGAGATGGACCAATTGCCCTGATTCTGGCACCTACTAGGGAGCTTGCTCAGCAAATCCAACAGGTATATTTTACTTTAATATTTTATACACAAAAATATTCTGAAATTTATATTTAGCCATTAAACATTTTTGTATTTGCCTTATGTAGTAACTCACCTCCAAAATACAATCTTATGCCACTTCGGTTCAGTTTACATATAAAATTCCATTTCTATTTCATTCTTAAGGGTAAGAAAGGCAGATAATTAAAGCTTAGTTTGAATTTAAATATGTGTTCATAGAATTTTTATCTTCTTTGTGAGCATTTTGTATAATATCAAAGTATTCTTTACTAAATGAATTTTTATATGTTATAGATTAGTTTTATAATTTTTATATCTGTGACTAGGTTGCTACAGATTTTGGCCAAACTTCAAGAATCCGCAATACCTGCATCTTTGGTGGTGCACCTAAAGGCCCGCAAGCTAATGACCTAATGGATGGAGTAGAAATTGTCATAGCAACACCAGGTCGTCTTATTGATTTTCTGGAGTCAAACAGAACTAATCTGAAGAGATGCACGTATCTTGTCCTAGATGAAGCTGATCGTATGTTAGATATGGGATTTGAGCCCCAAATTAGAAAGATAATTGAGCAAATTCGACCTGATCGCCAAACGTTAATGTGGTCTGCCACTTGGCCTAAAGAGGTACAAAATTTAGCTCAAGAGTTTTTGAAAGATTATATTCAAATTAATGTTGGATCTTTACAACTATCTGCAAATCATAATATTCTACAAATTATTGATGTTTGTCAGGAGTATGAAAAAGAGAGCAAATTAAGTACATTGCTAAAGGAAATTATGTCTGAAAAGGAGAACAAAACTATTATTTTTATTGAAACCAAAAGGAAAGTGGATGATATTACTAGGAAAATGAAAAGAGATGGGTGAGTATTATTATTATATGTATTTTTATTACATTTTCTTTCTCTTTGCAACCTTTCATGGTTAATGCAGATAATTATAAATTTTAAAAAAAATCAAAAATGTTAGGAATACTCATACAATAAAATAATAATAAATTCCAATTTTCTCACTTCAACACTGATGACTCATACTCTTATACTGCCCTACTATGTGGAAAAGAGGGCATCTATAATTTTTTCAAAAAATGAGATATCAATTAAATGCCATGTAGGAAACATGAAACTACCTTGTAGTAAATTGGACCATACAGTAATAGAAACATATATAGAATATTTCAACCTATTGATATATCATTATTGTATAATATGAATATCTGAAACAATATAAATTACAGATACCTCCTTTTCGCTTAGTAGGACAGTATAGTTATGCTCAAAGTTTAAATTGGTCATTGCAAAAATGCACGCCAAGTTCATCTCTAACCTTCAATCTGACTAAAGATTTAAGTCCTCCTGAAGCAGTTCCTGATCTGAAATAGAAGAAGTTTATTTATTCAAAAATAAGGAAAGCCCTAATACATACAAAAGTAATCAATTTATAACATTAATATATAATAAGAATACATAAGATAATACATATACCTATCGATTTTATCAAAATAATATTGTTCAAGGCTTTCTTGAAAAAGGATAATATTTCATCTTTTACCAAGATTCTCCATAGTGCTTTTCAATCAATTTACATATAGCTTGTTCTTTTTATCTGGTTTTAATGGTAAACCTACCTTCACAGCTGCAGATTCCAAAGGCATTTTCAGTCAATTTTTTAGCTAAGATTTATTGGTACCTAGATTGTTTTTATAACTGCAATATCATTTTGAAATTGTTACCTGCTTTGACATTTAAAATATAAAATGCAGTTGGGCTGGGGGCTTCATAACAAGGCGATTATTAGTTTTACAATCAAGAACTGGGGTATGGACCCCCAAATTGTAGACTCTAAACCAATTTTCTATTATGTTAATAGATTGTTCAGGACATGTACAGGCATTTTTTTTGGATTGTTTAAAGAACAATTCATTTCCCTATCAACTCGCGAGTTGGTCTGACATGCCCCTTAGACACGTGGTATATCCAACTCACATTCCTATTGGTTGATGTAAACATATCAGTGTTTGCACCAAAGTCGGCTGTGGACATGTCGGGTTTTGTATCCTGTATATTTTATGTAAGATATCGACTGTTATATAAAAACTATACAGCAACTTGTAGCTCTTTAGATTACAAGTAGAATGACATATAAAGTGTAAAACATGTGACTTGTCAGCTTTTGCATTTAGATGTCTGATATGCTCTTTCTAGCTCTTCATAGAAGTGGTATTTCTCATCAATCATCTTTCTCAGTGGGTAAATGGATGTTGTTTAGTCATAATTTTCTCTCCACCAGAAGAAAATATAACTGATCGTTTACTGTTTTAAAATCAATAGTATAATTTTTGAGATTTTTAGTAATAGTCCTTTTTACTATTTGATAGTTTTCTGGTCGATCTTGGAGGATATTTAGTACCGCTGTCCTATACAGGATGCTTTTATTCTAAATGCCAATGTTTTAATCATTTTACCTAATTCAATGCCTAGGTCACTGTCTTTAATTCAATCTGACTTTTGTTGCCTAATATTTTATAACTAATAAGTTTATACCTAATACGTAATATTTTATAACTAATAATATTTAATAACTAATATTTATAAGAGATGACTCCATAAAATCATTATATCAAAAAAGGCTAGAACAGAAAATACAAATGGAGAATATCGAAAATGAAAGCAATGTAGAGACTAGCTGGAGGAAACTTAAGAAAAATATTCTGGATGTTGCCCAAGAAGCCCTTGGAACAAAAATAATAAACAAAAAGTGGTCAATGAAAACACCATAGTTTTATAGAGGTTAAACAAAAATGTCATCAAAAAAAAGAAAGCTTTCCTGAAAAATAAGTCAGAAAAAATGAATGAATCATATGGAGAATATAAAAGAATAAGAACTGAAACTCATCAATTGGTAAGAAAAACAAAAACAGATTACTGGGAAAGATTCACAAAAGGACTAGAGATGGATTTCTATGGACCACAGAAACAAGTATGGCGCTTCATAAGACAACAAAGAAGCGAAATAAAAGAACTAGTTGAAATAGAACACATACAAGAGGATACATGGGTGGCCTTCCTGACAGAAATGTTTAAAAAACAAAATGAAGAACCTTTACCAGAAACGCCAAATATAATAACTGAGGAAAAGACAGAAATCTCCCAAAACGATGTGAAAGAAGGAATAAACAAATTAAGAAACAGAAAGTCACCAGGAGAAGACCAAATACCAAATGAACTCTTAAAATATGGAGGTGATTACCTTATACAACAATTGCAACTTCTTATTAATAAAATAATCACCACGAACAGAATACCAGATGAATGGAGGAGAGCTATTATGGTGATGTTCTTCAAAGAGGAGATAAGATAATAATTATAGAGCAATAAATATTTTAAATACAACACTCAAATTGACAACAAGAATAATAGCGACAAAAATAAAAGAACCAATATCTCTGCAAGAGAAACAGCAAGGATTTCCGACAGGAAGATCATGCACGAATGCAGTTTTTGTAATAAGACAAATAAAAGAAAAGTCGCTGGAATACAACAAACCAGGATATATGTGTCTGATAGATTTGAAGAAAGCGTTTGATAGAGTGAGAATTCGGGACACGATACATTTATCGCGTAAACGCGTAAATAAAAATCCATTGAGAATATATATAAAGATAACATAGCTATGGTAAGATGTAAAGGAAAATTATCACAACCTATCAAATATGAAACTGGCATTAAACAAGGAGATTCGCTGATCCCATTAATATTTAATCTGATAATGGATAAAATCATAAAGAAATTTAAATAAAGAAGAGGATATAGAATGGGAGAAAAGGAAATAAGGATAATATGCTATGCCGACTACGCCATAATAACAGCCGAAAATGAAGATGACCTACAAAGATTAATTAAAGAATTCGAAGATACAGCGCCCATATACAACATGGTGATCTCAACAGAGAAAACTAAAACGATAGTGATATCAGCGGAACCGAGATGATGTAAATTAGTCGTAAATATCAAAAAATAGAACAAGTGATGAAATGAATACTTGGGAATAAAACTGTCAAGCTACGGAAAAGTGGAAGAAGAAGTACAAAAACAAGTGAACATGGCAAACAGAGCAGCAGGATGTCTTCACAACACAATCTGGAGAAACAAATACCTCACAACGGAAACGAAAATCAGGATATATAAATCAACAATAAGACCGATAATGACGTACACAGAGGAAACAAGAGCAGATACAGTGAAAACACAAAGGCTGCTGGAAATAACAGAAATGAAAGTCTTACGAATAATAACAAACCAATCAGACAGAGTAGGAAGTGAGGAAATACGAGCGAGATGTGGTATAGAGGAAATAAACGCGTGGACCAAAAGAAGAAAAGTGGAATGGAATCATCAACACATCGAAAGAATGACAGAAAATAGAATAGTATGAATAGCAAGAGACAAATCGCCAAATGGAAGATCATTGGGACGACCGAGGAGAAGATGGTCAGACAACGTCAATAGAGGCTAAAAACCGAAGTAAAACAGGCATTAAGCCTATTTATAAAGTAGGAAGAAGAAGAAGATATTTTATAACAAAATAATTGTTATTTTATTTTATGGATTTCAACCATATACTTCATATAGGACAAAAATTTGTAAATCTGCAAGATTTTTAAAAGACAATTATAAATTTTTAGTTTGATTGTATAATTTTAATTAACTAATAATTTTTTAATTCCTCCAATTACAATTGTAGAATATTCTTGATAAACTTTTTTACTTGTATGTCATTTTTGTAACATTAATTTTCTTTATTTCGTACACATCGTATTTTTGTATGTTTTGCTTTACAGGTGGCCAGCTGTTTGTATACATGGAGATAAATCTCAACAAGAAAGAGATTGGGTATTACAAGGTAATATATAATATCTATTTATTTTCTGTAGAAATTTTTTTTATAAATCAATAATTTTAAAAATTATATTTTTCAAACGTCGTTTTGCCGAAGTATAATTGGAATTTTTGATTTATTACTCCATTGTCGTCGGATAAGAACGGAACGCTTTGAAAAATGTTGTAATCCTTTTTTTTATATTTTCATTATTAGTTTAATATACCAATTATAAATATTTCCTTTTAAGTTTTGTTAGACCATTATATACAGCTAATCCCTGTGAATTTTCCCTGAGTATGAGAAAAAAAATGTTCTCTGAAGTATAGACCAAAAATAATTCTCGGTTCTTGTTCAACGGATCAGATTATGAGTATTACTTAGTTTACGTGTCCAGTTCAAACAATTAAATCTTGTCCATCCAGGAAAGAGTGGTTTGAATGGCTGTGTTAGTTGAGTGCAGAAGATCGTGTTCATTGCAATGTTTCTCCAACAGAGGGTAACTAAGTAGATGTGTTGAATCTTGTACCGCCCAGATTTACACAGGGTATCGTAGTCAGCAGACAACAGTCCCCATTTCTCCATGTTGGTTTTACACTTGGACACTCTGACTTACAATAGAGCTGGAATACCGAAATAAGGAACTCGTGGAACCCCCCTTGGTAGATGAAGTGAAAATATCTATAGAAAAACTAAGGAACCACAAATCCCCAGGCAGCGATGGCATCCCAGCAGAGTTATTTAAGCACGATGGAGAGCAGCTTACCAAGGTGATGCGAGAAATTGTTTGTAAAATTTGGTCTGAGGAACAAATGCCTTGAGAATGGAGTTTAGGCTTAATTTGCCCGTTACACAAAAAGGGAAACCAACTGGAATGCAATCATTACCATGGAATAACTCTCCTAAATAGAGCATACAAGATATTGTCAAACATTTTGCACGAGAGATTGAAGCCTTATACCGAAACGTTTCTGGGAGAATATCAGGCAGGATTCGGGCGTGGACGTTAAACCATTAACCAGATCTTTACACTACGACAGATCCTCGAAAAAGCGCAAGAGTTTGACATAGATATGTATCATATTTTTGTCGATTTTAAAGCGGCATATGACAGTGGCTTAAGACTAAGTCTTTGCAACGCCATGAATTAGTTAGGAATTCCAAAAAAACTCATATGTAAGATAAAAGTGACAATGGCGAAGATGCTGTCAGCAGTAAAAATTCAAAACGACTAGTCAAATCCATTTGAAATACATAGCGGGTTAAGGCAGGGAGATGAGCTGGCGTGTCAACTTTTTAATGTCGCCTTAGAAAAAGTTGTACGAGACGCTAATTGAGTAAGAGTACAGCTTTTGGATTGTTTTGCACATGTGGTACAAATTCATTAAGAAACCAATGGTAAAATTGAGGTTCCTCCATCTAACCAATCTTGCTAGAAGCGTAAAGAGTTCCTGGCATGGCCTCTGGTAATACCCATCTTGCTTGGACAGCAGCAACCTTAAAAACGATGAGCGGTGGTAAATATTTTCTATCTGCTGAAACACATGCGAGCGCTGTCGTGGACTCCCGTCTAGAACCACCAGAACCTCTGTATAGAGCTTGACCCTTTGATACTATAACTCTAATTCTGGAGGGATCACTATTAAATCCACTCTCGTCGGCATTAAATACAAACATGGATTTACTGATGTCATAAGGCCATTATTTTGAACAACTTCTTTAGTTTATAATAGAAATCATAAAATGATTTCTGGCTTTCGAGCATCTTTTCCAAGTTTTTGAATATGCTCAGGTTTCTGTAGCGAAAGTGGATGGCGTTTCATAAGTGCAAGATACCAATCTTCACAAGGGATGCCATCTTTGAAGCGAGTTTTTAGCCTATTTTCTTTTTAATGTATTTACCAACTACATTTAGTAACTCTTGGTTTATCGCAAGGATATCCCACATTTGCTCGAGCTTTTAAACATGTCACAATATGGTTTTCAATTTTGTCTGACAACGCAGTAGACACACCAGCTCCCATCTTATCAATTGGTATGTTTCTTCCCTTTATGCGATTGTGAAATACTGTAGTAAGTAGCAACCTCCCTATATGTTCTTTTTTTTGTTTTGACGTCTGTCACGGTATTTACCAAATCATTCAAAGAGTAATTTGGTGGTTCTCTCTTTCTTATGTGCTTCCTCGGCATTTAGAAAATATCAAGACCTATACCAAAATAACCCTTAACAGAAAAAATCGATTTTCATTTACCCCACGTTGTTTCCATTTACCCCCAACAGGTGTTTTCATTTACTCCATGCTCAATATTTAAGGGGGTGATTGTGTAAACACTTAATGTACTTACTTCTTGTAGTAATTAACCTTCAAATTAACATTTTAGGCAATATAAGGATTCTCATAGTAGCTATAAATTATACAACCACTATACTTACCTAATACAGAGAGATGCAATTTGTAAAAATATTGGCACTGTTCTAAAACAATCAAATTCAAGTTGCACAAAATGGGGATTCACTTGGCCTGTAAACAACTGAATGTCATTTCACAGAATAAGCAAAGATGGAATTGTCAACTTTATTAGATGCAGTAAATAGTGAATGCATTTCATCTGGCACTTGACATCAACACAGATAAGACCAAAGGCTATAGCGGGATAAGATGGTCAAAATTGCACCATGCTCGATTCAGTTTTGGGCCTGGCCATTTGAAAGGACATAATTAAAAACTCATTCTGAAGCCCCCCATCCTTTAACAATCAATTGTATGAGCCTAGGAACAAAACAAAAACAAATAAGTATTACATAGAAAACGAAAAATTTATTTATACTGCCATAAGATACAATAATATCAGTTTTTACAAAATAAAAAAATTATTAATAAAATAAACATAAATTTGGTTTTTTAGTGAGATGGATGACTTATAACCTTAACAACATACATCTAAATTAATGATAATTTATATTTTTATATATATTCTTACCTTTACAATCGAAATAGCTGTTAAAATTATTATTTTTTTCCTGTAGCATGCTAAAAAAAATTCAGTATCTAAATGAACGGTAATTTACATTTTCACATATATCTTTCCCTTTACAATCCAAATCAGCTATTCAACGCATTAGTTTTATCTCACAACATTCTGAAAAACCGAAAAACCCCGTTTTCTCCATGTTTTTACTACATAACTCAAAAGACTCGTGAATGAATTGTAAATTAGAACGCACTTGTACACTCAAAAGTTGTGGAATTATAAGCTCGCGAATATATCTACATATATACGTGATATCACAATGTACATGCATTTATTACACAAACGCATATCTATATATAATAGTTCCATGACTTTTGAGATCCTTGTTATATACATTCATAAGCTCGTACCATATATATATTTTTCAAAGCGGTAATCCAAATACCCAGAATTAGTATTAAAGAGGTACTTATAAACTTACTTTGTTACACAGTTGATTCAGTCAAAAATTGAGAAAGATGTAGAAGAGGTATTCAGCAGAACGTCCAAACGCAGTGTAAATAAAAATACAACATTGGCTTTCCTGAACCTCCATATGATGTTTACTTTACTATTACCCTCCGACCAATAAATAACCACAATGCATAGGGTCGACGTAATAGTAAAAAAAGAATTTGTTGCTTCACAATATAAAACAATAACATGGTTATTCTTGCCTGTTATTTTAGACACGACACAATTCTGCTGTCAAATTCAAAATCAATTCAAAATAAATACAAAAACAGAGAGCTATTGAACATTTGAGGAAAAGCCCCGCCGAAAAGATAAAGGCCCTAACACGGAAACTGACTAAGAGCGATACAGAGGATATGCCCTACACACGCAAACGCACTAAGAGCAATATATAATGCAAGCCTGATTATAAATATCATATATATATGGCGTTGGTAGTTGCGCCGCCTAATATCAACTACTTTGCCTGCGAAATTTACGCCAAATGGTTTAATATACATGGCGTTGGTAGTTGCACCGCCTAATATCAACTACGGTGCGGCGCAACTATCAACGTCATGTTTTCTGTTACAATCAGGCTCCCTGGACATGCGGGATGTCGGGCTAAGACATGAAGGCCAAAACAGTTAAGTACATATAAAATAAAATAAAAATAATATAAGCATTGGTATCAGGCTCTTGTATCTAAGGGAAAGAGTAAGGCATGGACGAGCATGGTACGAGCTTATGAAAGTAAATAACAAGGATCTCAAAAGTCATGGAACTATATAGATATCCGTTTGTGTATAAATGCATGTACATTGTGATATCACGTATTATATGTAGATATATTCGCTACCTTATAATTCCACAACTTTTGAGTCTACAAGTTCGATCTAATTCACGATTTTATTCACGAGTCTTTTGAGGTTATGTAGTAAAAACATGAAGAAAATGGGGTTTTTCGGTTTTTCAGAATGTTGTGAGATAAAACTAATGCGTTGAATAGCTGATTTGGATTGTAAAGGGAAAGATACATGTGAAATATGAATACTATTACGTCGACCCTATGCATTGTGGTTATTTATTGGTCGGAGGGTAATTGTAAAGTAAACATCATATGGAGGTTCAGGAAAGCCAATGTTGTATTTTTATTTACACTGCGTTTGGACGTTCTGCTGATACCTCTTGCTACATCTTTCTCAATTTTTGACTGAATCAACTGTGTAACAAAGTAAGTTTATAAGTACCTCTTTTAATACTAATTCTGGGTATTTGGATTACCGCTTTGAAAAAATGTATATATGGTACGAGCTTATGATTGTATATAACAAGGATCTCAAAAGTCATGGAACTATTATATATAGATATGCGTTTGTGTATAAATACATGTACATTGTGATATCACGTATATATGTAGATATATTCGCGAGCTTATAATTCCACAACTTTTGAGTGTACAAGTGCGTTCTAATTTACAATTCATTCACGAGTCTTTTGAGGTTATGTAGTTAAAAAACATGGAGGAAAACGGGGTTTTTTCGGTTTTTCAGAATGTTGTGAGATAAAACTAATGCGTTGAATAGCTGATTTCGATTGTAAAGGGAAGATATATGTGAAAATGTAAATTACCGTTCATTTAGACACTGATTTAGAGATTATATAGCGAAAGGTTAAAAACAACTCCAAAAAACGGGTGGTTTTTCGTTTTTTTTTAGCATGCTGCAGGAAAAAAATATTAGTTTAATAGCTTATTTCGATTGTAAAGGTACGAATACATATAAAAATATAAATTATCATTAATTTAGATGTATGTTGTTAAGGCTTATGAGTCATCCATCTCACTAAAAAACCTAATTTATGTTTATTTTATTAACATTTTTTTATTTTATAAAAACTGATATTATTGTATCTTATGGCAGTATAAATAAATTTTTTGTTTTCTATGTAATACTTGTTTGTTTTTGTTTTGTTCCTGGGCCCATACAATTTATTGTCAAGGAGTGGGGGTGCTTCCGAAAAAAAAGCAGTTTTTTCGATTTTTAGGCATTTTCCACGTTGAAAATGATAATTATACCTATGCCATTCGAAAGAACATGAAAAAACCCATAAAAAAAACATTGTTGGCCAAAAATTTCCGACATAACCTAAAATATTACTGAAAATTTCAAATATTTTTCCTTGGCTCAATTTTTAAGCAAAAAATCTGAAAAAAATCAGGTAGTATTGTATTATTAAACTACGCCTTCATGAATTTTTTCAGATTTTTTGCAGCAATACAGCGTCTAAAAAAAAATTTTTTTTTTAAATACGTTTTTTTCCATAGCGAACCCCCAGAGGCACCTAGGGACTTGAAAATTTAACTGAGTGAGTTTTTAAGTATTTCCTTTCGAATGGCCAGGCCTAAAACTGAATCGAGCTTGGTGCAATTTTGACCATCTTATCCCGCTATAGCCTTTATGATAGTATCAAGGAGTCCAATAAATAATTAACAACTAACCCTTGGTGGACCAGCAAATAGAGAGAGTCACCAAAATATAAATATCTGGGAGCTTACATCAACACAGAATCCAGAATTAGATCCAGAACAAGAGATCGGGGCCCGTATTTTCGAAACCGTTCGAACGGAAGTCGTATGCGAAAGATGATGAATTTCGAACGAAAATCGATGATTCGTATTTTCGAGTTGATTTCGAACGCATCGTATACGACGATTTTCGTACACGACTGCTCGAGTGGGTATTCACCATTCGAATAGCGGTAAACACACGGAGTTTGACATTTCTGACTTTTGTGTTTAGTTTGGTTTTTAATTGTTTACATAAGTGAGATGGCCGGCCTTAAATTTTTTAATTGAAAGAAATGTTTTAAATGCCTTAGAAGATTCAATGCCTTGGACAAACATTACAAGGGGCTATTTTTTACTTTTTATGCATGTTACAATAGGTATCAAGTTATACTTATCTACATTTTGCATTCGTTACTTACCTTACGCCATTGTTTCCACTCTTTCTTTGCTCCTGGCAAAGCATTTAATATTTGGCCTAATTTTCTGCCACATTGTTTGGGCAGTTTTATATGTAAAATTGTTTGTAAATTTCCCACTTGTTAAATCGGGATTTTCTTCCATAAAATCTATCAGTTCTTTTTTTGTTCGGAAGATACAATCCTCCGAACATGGAATTTTTATTTTCTTTGTCCATATTGGAAACAGAGAAAAAGATAAGTACGAAAACACAAGCCAAACACTGTGTAAAAAATTGAGCAAATCACAAAAAAAGTCTGCTGCAACAAGTAAAATAAACGTGTCAGTCAAATAAATGTCGCCTGTCACCTCTACCTCTTTTTTTCTTAATTTCGTGCGAATTTGCGGCGTTGCGGTGAATTTAGGTTAACGGATTCTCGTATGTGAATTAAACTTTCGAATTGCGTTCGAAAATACGCTTTTACGTTCGTGCACGTAAAAGATCAAATAGTTAAGAAACTTGAAGCCTTTGAACTTTGGATATACCGGAGAATGTTGAGAATTCCATGGACTGCCAGGTTCACCAATGAGGAAGTGCTGAGAAGGATGGGTCGAGACAAAAAATTGTTGAGAACAATAAAAGTACGCAAGACTGCATACTTTAGACACATACTGAGGAATGATAAATATAGTCTTCTGAAGGTCATCATGCAGGGTAGAGTCGATGGCAAAAAGGGAATAGGTAGAAAGAGGAAGTAATGGCTGCGAAATATTCGAGACTGGACAAACATGACTGTAGATGAATTATTCCACGTTGCAAAGGACAGAGAAACTTAGAAATGTGGTCGCCAACCTCCGTTAATGGGGACGGCATAGGAAGAAGAAGAATTGCAATTATTCTGTGTATGTGACATTGTTGCCATATTTCATTTCTAGCCGTTGAGAGTATTGTTTTCAATTACCCACACTGAGTATAATTCATGAACTCACACACCTACAAACATGTCATCATTTGAAATAGCAAACTTTTTTTATTTTTAGATTTTAGAACAGGAAAAGCTCCAATTTTAGTGGCCACTGATGTAGCTGCTAGAGGTCTAGGTAAGTCTTAAAATATTAATATTGAAATATGTGTTCAAATATTTTGAATTAAGTAGCAGGCTAATAGTTATTGTTTTGTTTGATTAAATACTTTTTTATATATTTTTATTTTCAAATTTTAGTAGCAGTTCATATTAGCTTTCTATTATTAGCCTGTTTTGCCATGTTACAACAAATGGTCATATTTATTTTTGAAGCTTTTAATATATCTTTTACCGTCATTCGTACATAAATATTAAAATGTAGATCTGGCTTTTTGTTTTAGCATGGTAATATTATCGAGTGTTGTAAAATAATACGTTTGCTGAACAAAAAAGTAAAATTGTCACTACTCTCTTTTCCAGAGGCACTAGCGAGTTAATGACAGACAGAAAAGATAGTTTTGTCATTGTGGCTGTGCCTCTCACTTTTGGACATCCTTCGTTGAATGGCCAACGCACAAACGTGGCCATATTCGATGTCACTGTGGCCCTCTGTGTAATGGCCATCAACCGGGGCCTGTTATTGTATTCGGGCTGCGCTGCGCCAAGCCGGATGCGCACTGGCCTTCCCCTACTTGATCTGTCTCTAGTGTCGTCGTGAGATGGTCTCAAAATTACTGGACCAACTATGATTGTTGGCCAATGGCCCAGTGCTGGTCGCTCGCCGACTCCCGTTGGGCGACACGCACCAGCCCGGCATGATTTTTGGTATGCTTTATATTATTTTAACACCAGGTCAGAGGTCACAACTGGCAGTGACTCTTTAGATATAAATAAATTTTGTGTTAACTGCATTATCACTGCGAACCTATTCTCAACCTGTGACGACTAGCAATGTTACTATAGAACATAACGTAAGTTTACATGAAATTAATACTGTTGAAATTTGTCATTTTGTGAACTAACTAAGCTAACATTTTTTACAATTATTTAAGAAAGGCAAAGAAACAATATTTGATTTGTGAAAAATGGGGTTTTGATCAGTTTTATTTCGCTCCTTTCAATACAAGGCAAGGGGAACAAACATATAAAGATTATCATATCTGCCTTATAGTCTTAAAGAAATAACGCGTTAAGAAGGTTAAGAAATATCTGAAATGGCGATACAAAATAGTACTTGACAACAAAAAATCAATTTTCGACACCATTTCATGTATCGTTCAGTTGGCAGCTTAGATATTTCTTGCATTCTGGCCGAGGTGTCATCGGCTGAAGATAAAAGCAGATCCTTAACTTATGTAAACGCGATATAGGAATGAGAGATGGTCAAATAAGCCGTAAAGCTAAGCAAAAAAAAACCAAAAACGCAAAAATATTTTAAAATTAAAATCTGAAACATGTTTTCATAATTTTCATAAAATTTAACTCAAGGTAAAGGTGGTAATGTTTGAATATTATCTGTTTGAATAATAATAACAACATTTGTGTGTTATTTTCAAAGCACCTAAGTGATATTGCTAGAGTTTAATTCCTTGTTGCAGTCTACTTTGTGCAACAAATAAAAATCTTATAGTGCGCATTTGCATGTTATATATTACAGAGTATATATATATTACCAATGTGGATATTCCTTCATCATTACAAATAGTACTTAGTGTCTTAATAATAGTAGATTTTAGATTCAAATATACTAATTTTTATTCAATTTAATTCTTGCACTCAGTTATATTATTGGCATTATTATTTATTAATCTTGTCATTAAAAGATTTTATTTTATATGAGGTCTGTCTCAAAAGTATCTGACCAGTGATATCTTTACAATGCTTTGTTATTTATCATCCAGCTATTGCATTCTTGGAAGAAATCTTCATTTACTTTTACAACATGCTTCCATCAGTGCTTTGGTTACTGAAGCAGTTATGAAATTCATTTTTTGTAATGTTCCTTAGTGCCATCGTTGCATTCGTTTAATTGGTTACTATGTCATCGAAACGTCCTTTAAATGATATTTTTAGTTTTCGAAACATGAAAACGTCGCAGTTCAGTCGCAATCACCTCCACAAGTTCGGTGTGTCATTCCCAAGTAATTCCGCCCCATGGCATTATGCCACCACCACCAAAAATAACGCCCTGTATATGAGATGCGATTGGTTATACAAGGGAAAGTGGAAGGAAAAAGAAGAGAGGTTACCAAACGTTTCCTTCAATAAATCAATTGTGGCACGAGCTGTGTGACATGTTTTATTGAAACTACACCTCCTGCACATCATGGTTGTTCAATTGGGTAATGAAAAAGGCAGTAATCCTGGCTCTATAGCGGTCATCATTAATTGTAACGTTCTGGCCAGCATCGTTTTTGAAGAAGTACGGTCCAACGATTCCACCAGATCATAAAGTACACCAAAGAGTCAGTTTTTTTGAATGTAATGGTTTCTTAACATACATTTGAGGATTATCTTAACTTCAAATAGGGCAGTTTTGTTTGTTGACATAGGTATTCAATCAAAAGTGAGCTTCATCCCTAAACAAAATTCGTAATCTCGTTTTGGATCCACTTACCGAATCTACGCCTTGCTATGTGATGTATTTTCAATTCTTACATGAGTTGGATTTTGTAAGCACGCAAAGCAAGATCTTTTTGCAAAATCTTCCATAAAGTCGATGATCACGTATCCTACCGCTGTGCACGATGATAAACAACTTCTTCTGTACGTACTGTACGACGTACCTGTGGATGCATATTATCATTTAGAGTAAACGTGGTGCAAAAACGTTCCATGGTTAATGGAATTACTTGCTCTGATGGCCTATTATATTGACCATAAAATGAACGTAGTGCGCGATACGATTTCGAACAGAACCAGAAATTTCACAAGAAATTTGTACAATTTGGAAGCGGTGTTCAGGCGTCAAGTCTATTCATGCTGAAATGCCAAACCAAACTTAACATAAATTACTTGACAGCTGTCAAAATGACTAACAGTTCAAAAAGTGTTACCAGCTTACATTTCTATACCTTTAAAATACCCTTTACATGCTTCTGTTTCCAGATTGTAGTCTTATACTTGTTTCATCCATCTTATGCTTTTTTTTTAAACTTTGTTTCATTGTCAGTTTAAACCTATAAAAAATGAAGTTTAGTTTTAATGATTAAATAGCCATTCCTGACCACTGCCAGTGTCACAGTTGCTACTGGAATTACTGTCACCGTTTATATTAATTATATGTAATAGGTAGAATTTTCTGTCTATCTAATAAATGCTCTCGGTCATACCACTTTTTAATTAAATTTTCTGTATGACTAATAGAATTTTGCCATATCTGGGATATAACAGTTTGTAGAGCTTCTTTCCATATGTTTAAAACATCACATTCTTTATAGCCATATTCAGCAATATGTCAGTTATAATAATTTTGGGCAATTCCCCTTATTAATTATATGGCATTGAAAATACCAAGACAATACATTTTGCAAGAAAAATGACACCAAAAGTGAAAAGATTAGCAAAGATACAAGGGCTCTCATGGAAATACGACGAAACCTAAGCGAGAACGAAAAGGGAAACAAAGAAGAATATAAAAAACTAAATAAAAGAATTTCAGCGGAAATTAGAAAAGATGTAAGAAGATATAATACTAATGTAATTACTCAAACAGTAGAAGAGAACAAAGGTTTAAAGATAATGAAAAGAAAACTTACGCAAAGTAAAAAAGAAATATACAAGCTGAGAGATAAAGACGGAAAGGCAACAACAGATAAACAAAATATTCTTAAAATAACTAGAGAATTTTATAAAGACCTCTATACCAGCCAAAGACCACAAGACAATTTCCCGACACGAGTAAAGACTCTCATAAATCAGGGATCGGAATTACTTTTACCCATTACTGTGTCAGAAGTAAGAGCAGCTTTAAAGGAAATGAAGAACCATCGATCGCCTGGTGATGACGGACTCGTTATCGAGGCAATAAAAGCAGGTGGAGAAATTTTATTAAAATCAGTAAGCGAACTGTTTACTAAATGCTTACATGCGGGTACGATTCCAAAAGACTGGAACAATGCAGTAATAGTCTTGTTACACAAAAAAGGCGATATTACTAAATTAGAAAATTATAGACCCATCAGCCTCTTGACACATATGTACAAACTCTTTATGAAAATCTTAACAAAGAGGCTAACACCTAAACTTGATTTCTATCAGCCCAAAGAACAGGCAGGCTTCAGGGCAGGATATGGCACAAATGACCATTTGCATACCATAAAGATCTTAATAGAAAAGTGCATCGAGTACAACATACCACTGGTTCTTGCATTTGTCGATTACGAGAAGGCTTTTGATTCTGTAGAGTTTGAAACAATACTGGAAGCCCTAAATCAAAGCCGAATAGATTACAGGTACACGACACTAATCAAAAACATCTATCAGAACGCTACATCAAGTATACGACTGCACGAAGACACAGAAAAATTCAGCTTAGGTCGAGGAGTTAGACAAGGAGACAATATTTCACCAAAATTGTTCACGGCAGCTCTAGAGTCAATATTTAAGGGTACTCAATGGCAAGATATGGGCATCAATATAGATGGAGAAAGATTAAATCACCTAAGGTTTGCAGATGATGTTGTATTAATCGCAGATAACTTACAAGATACGGTTTCTATGATGCATTCGCTTAAAAGTCTGTCTGAAAGAGCAGGATTAAAGATAAACTTTGAGAAAACTAAAATTTTAACAAATCTCGTAATGAGTGGAAATATAACTATTGACAATAATACCATACAACAAACAGACACTTACAAATATCTGGGACACGAAATCAAAATAAGCAGAGACAATCAAACACATGAAATACAGAGGCGAATAGGTCTAACATGGGCAGCATTTGGCAAATTAAGCCATATTCTAAAAAGTTCAATTCCCATGTGTCTCAAGCGAAAGGTTTATAACCAATGTGTATTACCTGTACAAACTTATGGAGCAGAGACATTAACACTCACGCAAAAATCTGCAAATAAACTTAGAGTTACACAACGAGCCATGGAACGTGCAATGCTGAACGTGAGCCTTCGAGACCAC